ATTTATTTATTTATTTGCAAAAATAAGAGTATGTAATTGAAAAAATATATTTTTATAAGTAATCACAAATATATTAAATTGATATTAGCTAAGTAATCACAAATATATTAAAATTTCCTTATTTGATTTATTGATACTAGCTTAATTAAAGACGCTAGTAATTTATCATTATGCGTGTTGAACATCTAAAATAATTTTAACGACGTATTTACTAGGAGAAATGATAAATTTTATTTGTTTGGATTGGGTTATATTTTGATCCAACGAATTATATTGTTTTAATCTAATTGATGGATTATTTTAAATTAAAATATATTCTATCAACTATGAAAATATCAAAATCAAATAAACTAATCGAATTTAAATTTATTTTATCACGGCTACAATGGTTATTATACATTAAATTTTAGAAAGGTCTTTTAATTAACAGCATGAAATAAGTTTTAAAAAATTATCACATAAACTCCATTTTTAAAGTTAAGAGTATTTCGGTAGCGGCACAAATAATCGAATAACATCTTATTTGTGGTATCAAATAACATTAATATTATTTAGTGGGAGAATTGATGTGTTATTTTACATGAATCTTTATATTAAATTTCTTAAAAGACAACAAGACAAGAACTTTATGTATGCATACATAATAAATATAATAATTTTGTAAATACTCATCACAATTTTTGAGGTGCAACTGCTCACATTAGTAATTAATTAAAATATTGACGGACATTTCACCAGGATAAGCATACACTACTTTTGATAAGTTTATATTTAATGAACACTTAAACGGTGATGATGAAATTCTTTCACCAAATTCAACTCTCACCGATCGACATTCTATACGAATTCTATTGAAAAAAAAATAGTAAAAAAATTTGAAATATATTTAAATTTTAATCGAAATTATATTATAATATTATATTTTAAAAGAATATTTTACTTCTGTATTATTTTATATATATATATATATATATATGGTCATTATATATATTGCATAATTTTAAATAATAATATGTCTATGTGGTCGTATTTATATCTTTAAAAATATATTTTTAAAAAGTACAGAGATAAGAAATCTTTGATAATTTGATATCGTGATAACAATTCCAATCAAAATTAAAATATTTTTCAGATCCTTTTTCCTAAAAATATTTTGAAGATTTTTTTTACTTTTTTAAGTCTTTATACGATAGTAACAAAAACTAACTTGGTGAATGTTTTTTCAAGGTTTGAAATTATTTCGCAAATAATTTAACATTTTACTCATTTAGCTTATTGCACATAAATATTTCTCATGAATAATTTCCATCGAAGTGAAATTTAACTTATTTACCTCGATAAATTTACAAAAGTGAATTTCTTTATTTAAAAAGAAAAATTACACATAAACAAAATATTTTCACTGATTCGAGAAGTATGATTTCATATATGAGTATATGATTACACGATCTTCCTTTATTCATATTAAAATCACAGAAGTGAATTTTTGAAATGAGAAGGTATCATATTTACTTTGTTTCATTTTATATAACATTATTTAACTTGATATAGTTATTATTTTTAAAAAGATAAAGTTTTTCTTATAAATTAAAGATGTAAACAATTTTTAAATATTAGTCGAATCGTAAATTATTTTATTAAAAATAATTGAATTTTAAAAGTTAAATTATTGATAACTATATTAAAGGGACATTATTTTTAAAATAAACTAAAAATAAAACGTCATACGTAAAATGAGATGAAATATAAATTAAAATTCTAAAATTTGCTCGAAAAATAACGTTAGCTTGCCAAATTTATAACATCATCATTAACTCAACTTAACTTGAATTTAATCGAATTAAAGTAAGTTGTAGTACTCCTAAAATTAAAAATCTCAACTTCATTTTCCACATAAAACTATTATTTAGTAATTAAACCTTCTAAGATAAACATAACCGATTCATCCAACGAGTAGAGTGGTCTAGAATTTGAATATACCAATTTAACTTGGCAATTAGCAACCCTCCAATGAGAAAATTTGTATAATTTTATTTAAGTGCATTTATCTTATAGACGAGTAAATTATAGCTTCTCATGTAAATTTAAAACGAATAAATATATAATTTGAGTTAATGTCTCAAAAGGTTATCTAATAAAGTCATTAAACTTTATTTTGTATCAATAAAATCACTAAATTCGGACATTTTAACCAATAAAATCACTGAATCAAATTTATTATTAAAAAAGTATTGACATAGCAAAATAAATTACTCGTATATTTTTATATCATATAACCTAGATCCACAAATAAATAAAATCAAAGAACTCATTAAATCGGCACAAACTAAATTATGAAAACAAAAAAAAATTATGATATTGTTGAATAATTTACTTCTTGATTTAATAAATAAATGAATTTCTTTTCTTAGTGAAACGTATTTTTATATGGGAAAATTTCGCATATAGCCACAAGAATAAATTTAATTAGATTTTTTAGCTATAGTTTACATATTTACAGGCTGTAGCTACAGTTTTAATGGTTATGGATAAGCGAATTTGTATAATTCAATATAATTTTTTATACGAAACAAAAATTTAAACTTTTCAAAAGATAATAACGGTAATTTCAATTGGGAAAAGGTAAACAATCCCTTAATTCATTCAATAGTATCTCTTTAGACTTTCATACCAATATGACTTTCTTTCCTTACGTAAATGTATAAATTGATTTATATTTGTTATTGTATGAATTATTATTGATTGCTTCAATTCATCGATGACTGAAGTTTGTGTGGAATTGGTGATTGTATAAATTAGTTATTTTTGTATATAATTCTATAAACAGATTATTCCGAGGTGGTTTGTATTTGTATATTTTGTATATGTATATGTCAGTTTTATTTTTGATGGAATTAATATTTGCATATGTATAATTGATTGATGATGGTAGTTTACGTGGGATTAGAGTCCGTGTAAATTAGCTATTTACATTTGCAATTCTATAAAATGAGTATTAAAATGCCTAATATATATTTGTATATTTTGTATATGTATAATTGATAACATGAAATTATTATCTTTATCAATAAGCTATTTTCATCTATAATTGTATAAAAGGAAGAGTGACAATTGATTTTTACTTAAATATATGTATATGTATAATTCACACCTGATTTGTACTTATATATTTGTTATAATATCTTTCAAAACTATTTTGGATTATTCTTCATCCATAAATTTGATTTTATCTAATTATAAATTTAAAAAATCACATGAAATTACAATCATATACAAATACAAATTAAAAGGACAAGTATGAAACCACAAAAAAGGAAGAAATTTAACGAAAAATTGAATTTATTAAATTTGGAAATCAATTTGTGTTGAGGGATTTAAGGAGAAAATAAGGTAAAGGATTATGATAAACAGAAGGGATCATTTATATATATAGAAAAGGGACAGCTACACACGCTTATACAAGCCGAAAGGTAAGCAACATAATTAGAATCACGAATTGGCGGCGAGTGATAATAAAAACAAACTCTAGCTATAATAAATAATTAACTAATATAAGTTTGTTTAATCATGTAATTTTTCTTTTTGTATTATTGTAATACTAATACCATAATAATTTGCCTCCCTAATTAAAAAAAAAGAGTACAAGTACTATAGAAAAAAACACAATTTAAATCCAAAACAGGAAGAAAAACAATATATAAATGTCAAAAATAGAACAAGTATTTATTAATTAAGTTCTTCAGCGTGTAACGATTTTTAGATGTTTTTTGCTATAAATAATAGGTAAAAACCTTACTTTTCCTTCGTAATTTTCACTATTTACTAATGTTAGATTTTTTAAACTTGAAAATAATATTTTTTTAAAGTTGTTAATAAATAAATCTTGAAATTCGAATTTGTGTTTTGCACGTACATTTTAGTTAATTTTTTAAAAAAAGTTGTGAGGGGAAGTGGAAGTTTTTAATGAGATTTCTTTGATTTTTATTTATTTGTGAGATTCATATAAAAATAATAATTTATTTTTGCTATGTCAATACTTTTTTTTAGTAATAAATTGAATTAAGTGATCTTTATTGATAGAAAGGTCTAAGTTTAGTGATTTTAGTGATGTAAAACAAAGTTTAATGATTTTGCTAGATAAATTTTCAAAGTTCAGTGACATTGTGAGATATTAACTCTATATAATTTACATAGTAGAACACAAACATGTTAACATAGTTTGAATAATTAAAAGGAAAACTTTCACACATAGCTACTAAAACATAGTTCATTATAATCATTACAATTCGTAGCTACATGTTATAAGGAGGAGAGAAGTGAGCGAGACTAGAAGAGAAAGGTGAGAGAGAGCGCAAAAGTTGGAGACGTAAATTGTATGTGTGTATTGGTTAAAGATATTCCATGTTATACATATGTATCTGCATAATATGGCAAGCGAGACTAGGAGAGATGCAGCAAATTAGGAGAGGGAGGAAAAAGACGGGTATTATTATATTATACATATGTATTTGAATAAAAAGCAAGCGAGAAGAGGGAGAGGTGGATTGTACATATATATATATATATATATTGTTAGATAGTTGCATTATTATGCATATGAAATAAAAAGCAAGCGAGATTAGAAGAGAGACGAGCAAGAGAGGTGAATCGTATATATATTATTAAATAATATTATTATACATATTTATTTGTATATTCTAACGAATTATATATACAACTAATTATACAAACTTGAAATCAACCCATGTAAATATATAATACTAGTCGCCCTTTTGCATCATATCTAAGGGACTCCAATCGAAATGAAGACATCATTGAAAAATCCCGTTTTTGATGTTCACCTTGTGGCAATTATAACAAATTATAAATAATTAAATAACAAATTATAACTGTAACAAATTATTAAAACATAATTTTATAAATTATTAGTTACTCAAATTTGTATTAACGGGCCTAACAGTAGTAATGGGCCAAGGTGAATTAATTTTGGACTAGAATTGGTGGGGTGCGCCAGGCCCGTGCAGTAGTGCAACGCATGAGCAACACTTGAGGGTCCACGTAGCAAGCTACGTTAATGAACTCTCCCCTTAAAAAATTGAGTTAATATCATGTGAATCAATGATTCACATATCAGATATTCAATTGATAAGAACAGATACTACACTTGATCTTAGCCAAAAGGCCGAGAAAGGTATGATTTTTCAAATTGAAAGGCCTCGATTTTTATAGTAACATTTTTCGTTGTCTACACATTAGTTCTCTTCGATGTGGGATGAACAGAGTCTTTCATATGTATCAGCCTCTGCCTAACGTGAAAATGAATTCGAGTTATTGCCTAGCTGTTAAATGGGTCAGAATTTGCTGTACAAATTGAACAATTTTGATGTTTATATTATTTCATTGTGATAGTCCTGTAGATTTACAAGAGATTTATTCATTGTTGTGCTACTAAATTTGGAACCTTGTTATGAAAAAGTATATATTCGATACACAAATTTTCGTAGTGTTTTGAAATAAACAATTGTCAAATAAAAAATAAGAGAAAACTGGAATGAATTCAATATCACAATACAAAGTAAATAACGAAAATGACTGATTTTATTTATAAACTTAAAAGAGTAAATCATTATAATTGTACACATTAGAATCATGGACGGTTCAAGCACATTAGTGGTCTAAAGTCAAAATAAAAAGAGGTCTTAAACTTTTAAACATTGTTGATATAACTTTTATATAGTGAAACTCTACTATTATCATTTTTCAATTGGTAATATAATTAATTTATATTATCTTTCATGTGACATATTACTCCAAATAGCCTAAACTGACGTGTTATTTAACCCCAACCTGTGACAATTTACCCGAATTGTTTACTTATACATATGGTTCATAGTATCATTCTAAATTAATAGACACCTTGAGTATACATGTATTAATGGTAAGTCAATTGAGTTTTGTTAGAGAATAACTAGACACACACAAAGTAATATGCTACATTTGGTATAAGCAAAGGATTATTGTTACCCACTTCTAACAAAGAGTATATTTAGGGCCCGTTTGGCCATAAATTTTTCAAATAATATTTGGGAAAAATTTGGCAAATAATGTTTGTTCATACAATTTATCATTATTTGACAAATATCTCAAATTTTCAAATACTAGTTTTTTCTAGTATTTGGGCCAAATCTCATTATTTGGATATTTTAAAAATTAAAATTTTACCCCAATCTTTTATCTTTTACAAAAACACCCTCTCTAATAGTTGTTTGCGTTGTATTACATCATTTTTTACGTGAACACCAAAATAGTGATGAAATATGTAGTGAATATTAAATAATTATATGACTGTTGATGAAAATTATTAAAAATTGGCTTTAGGTAACAAAGTCATGTACTTTGTCTACTTCACGATGTATGGAATAATTCTTGTTGCACTCACTCCAAATTACCACATTGCTTTAGTGTCATAGACATTATTTGTTATTGTTGTAACGAACATTCATTGCCTTGTAATACAAATTTTTAGTTAATTTTGATAGTTTTTAAAACTTGTGTGTATAAATCATATTTTTCTAAAAAGGTGAAATATATTTCCCAAATTTTATGGCCAAACACATGGTGAAATTTCACCCAAATTTTCACTCAAATAATATTTGCTAAGAATATTTGGAAATCTATGGCTAAACGCTAGCTTAAACTATAGTCTTCTATATAGTTCAGAGTCAATTAATACAAGTATACATCAAGTTTTTTTGCTTTCTATCTTCTTAAAATTATTCAGTATTTTAAATATACTTTATGTTAGATTAATATATATTCACAGCGGAAGCATATCAAAGATTTTTACTGCTTACATGAATAATAAATAGTCAATACCGTTTATGCTAAAACAAATATCATGCTACAATACATAAACATACTGAAAGTTAATTTGATAAATATCTCTTGAAGCGTGAGCGAATACCTTCAAGCGAATCTCCAAGTTAAACGAATCTTCAAGCGAATTTACAAGATATTTATGGTCTTCTACCGTGATCCCAAGACACATCCGAACTATCTCAATACTCGGGTGGGCAAGCACTAATCCTCATCTTTCTAGGTTAGGATAATCTCTGTATATAAAGATTTCTTTCTAATTCAAAAAGGAATAGAAAACCTAGTTTTTCTAGAAGACTAAAAAAAACCATATTATTCTTTCTTTTTTGCATAGAATTAGGATTGTGAGTTCTAGTTAAATATGGGCACTATAGGGGCCACATAATTAATTACCGAGGTTTTCTATTATGAAAATAATTTCAATTAATTAATTTGAATTATTCTTACCATAATAAATTACAAACCATCCCACTAGAAATTCGTAATTACACTCCTCTATTTCGTAATTCCCCATTAAACACTTATGTAATTCCCCATGTTAAGATTTCAGATAGTAATCAATAAATTAAATTATCGACGAATTTAACTTAATGATTAATTTCCTTTAGAGCACTACTTAACTTATTTCATGTTTCGTATTTATAAATCCACTTGCAAGATTTGACACGATGAAAACTTCTAAGTTTCTCAAAAAGGCATATCAATCAATCTCTATAACGAGACATGAATTTCATCAACTAACTTATTATTTCACAAATATACATTATTATCATCCAATTTACCAGGCATATTGACCCATCTCAGAATCTCACCTTTTAATAAATCAAGACGATAATTAATGTATACAAATCATAATAGTTCTATCAGGATTAAGAATATAAGTACATTTAATAGTTTAGAGAATATGTTTTTGCCAGTCAGTCTAAAACAACTATCTCTACACGGTCCCGTTCAATACATACAAAATGTACTAGCACAAGAAGTTGGAACTATACCGTTACCATAATCGAGATAAATTACATATAATCTTGTACCCAATAACATGTCCACTTTCCATCGTAGATTGTGAACCAAAAAACTTTATACTTATAAGAACCGATGATTTCATCCTGTGTGTATAAACTAAAACTCTACACACTAAATCATTTACTATATAAGTAAATAGACATCATAAACAAATATATGATCTAATAAATTTAAGTAAATATTTAATCTCTAATATATATTATTTCTTAACACATGATTAATAATAGTATATATCCCAACAATTTATTCAATTTATTTGAATTTATATGTATAAAGATTAATTTAAGGGGAAATGCTCCTTCACAAAAAAATCTCCATTCCAAATATTTTTATAAACTCAAATTTTTTACATCAAAGTGTGCTTAAACTTGAAAGATTTCAAAAGTGATCCTTTAAAGTCTAAAACAAGCAAGCATATTCTGCCAAAACATAAATATGCACTAATAATATGGGGCACTTTCTTTGCAAATGTCAAAAAACCAAAACTTAGAATCAAAGTAATCATATTGTTGATTATTCTTTACCAACTATTCTTTTTTATATGGTAAAAAATAAAGTCCATTTGCAAGTGATGTTGCTTTGTAAAAAATAAACAATGTTTTTCATTTATCATTATATTCGTGTCTAACTTTAAAAAACGTAACTCACAATGATAATAAAGATAATGATAAATTATAAAATTTCACCCAAATTTTCTTAATTTAATTATTTGATATTTAAAGTTCACTGATTCAATTAATATGAATTCATAATAAATAAGAAGTTAAACGTTCACTAAGAAAATTCTAATGATAGAGTAATTCCAATCATACCCACTACACAAATTAATAGAACGAGACATGGAGTTGTGTTAAAATTTTAAATTTGTGTGGGGATTAACCAAATAAGTGGTGTAATAGGAGCTAGCACTAAATCAAAATGTAGTTAGGTAAGATTTATATTCTACTGTTTTATTTTTGTTTTTTTACAAATAGTAGAAGGGATAAGTAATGGATTATTATTATTATTACTTGTTAGTGCAGCATCCAATTAGTAATTTTTAATTAACAAAAAATAACATAAACATTACATTTAAAAAAACAAACAGCGATGGGATCTGGTCAAATATGAGAATTTTTTGAAGAGGGAACTTTTCTTGATTATTACATGAAAAACGCACTAACGTAGTGAAGGTAAAATTACAAAATATTTAATAATCTGATTTTATGATAATCAATTAATAATTAATAAGGTCAATTACTTAGACTTCAGTTTTTGCCAATTCTTTTCTAGGCAATTAAATGTGATATGAATATGACCTAACAGAAAATTATAAAATTTTGACCAAAGTTAGTGTTGCTTTCTATGAGTTCCTAGGCTAAAAGATTCAATTAGGGCCCGTTTGGATGGGCTTAATAAAAGCAGCTTTAAAAAAGTACTTTTAGATGAATCTTCCACTTAAATTCTTTGTACAAGAAAAAAAGAATTGATTGAAATCATAATTAATATAAAATATTTACTTCACCAGCAATTTCAAAATACCAATAATCAAATTACTAGTACTTTCTTCTTTTGTTTTCATTCGTTTAGTGTAAAAATAGATACACATTTTATTAGTTCAATTTAAAAATAAAAAAAATATTAATCATAAGATTCAAGTACTGTGGCTAGTGTTTGACTCTAAATTTCTAGATATTATTGGTATTATATTTTGGGTAATATTTTATCACGCTTTTCATCATAAATTTAAAAAAAATATTTAATTATTTTAAAAAATGATAGCCATAAATTTTTAAATTAATAAAACACCTTTAAGCTTATATTGTCATTTTATAATGAAATGTTTCGTTAAAAATAACCTTTTAACATCGTAATTGATAACAACCAAGAATAAGAAAGTTATAATATCTAACAATACATTAATCACATACTTAAACTTATCACTAATTCAACATGAACTATAACTCATTAATTAATTAATTTATTTTTTTTGCATCGTTCTATATAAAATATACAAGAATGATTTTTAATTTTAGAAAAATTTCAAATATTAGAATTTACTTAAAATACTAATTTTTTCTAGTATTAAGAAACCAAGATATTTGACAAATTGTATAACCAAATATCATTTTTAAGTTTCTCCCGAGTGTATTAAGGCCAAATGGATCCTCAATTAATTTTTTAAGCACTTTTCCTTTAAAAAATCAGTCAAACAAATTAAATCGAAATTGAATAACAGAAAAAGATATTTTAGGTGCTTACTCAAGGAGTCCACTCCATTAACAATAATAAATTAAACGTTACAAATTCTCGGAATCCATAATCCAAGGTTCCACTTCATCATTCAAAGTCAAATGTGATCTTCTAGTTTTTTGCTTTTTTTCATACTTATATTTCTCATGTAAACAATTCATCAAACACCTTCTATGCATCTGTATACCTAAAGCTCAAAGATGAATCTTTTCAGATTGATCAATCTTCCCTTTATTGTATTGTTTCTTGTATTTCAACCCCTTCTTCATTGTACTGCTGTTGCTGTAGCTGAAGATGATATAAAGTGTTTAGAAGGAGTCAAGAACTCCTTAACAGATCCAAAAGGGAACTTGAATTCATGGAATTTTGCTAATTCTACAGTGGGGTTTATATGTAAATTTGTTGGTGCTTCTTGCTGGAATGACCGTGAAAATCGTCTCATAAATCTTGAACTTCGGGATATGAATCTCGGAGGTAATGTTACAGATTCGTTAAAGTATTGTCGAAGCTTGCAAACTCTTGATCTTTCTGGTAATCAAATTTCTGGTTCAATTCCTTCTGATATTTGTACTTGGCTACCTTTCTTGGTAACCCTTGATTTGTCCTACAATGAATTTACCGGTTCTATTCCGTCTGATCTTGTTAGTTGTTCTTATTTGAATAAATTGATGCTTAATGATAATAAGCTTTCTGGTAATATACCACCTCAGTTTTCTAGTTTGGGGAGGCTTAAGATATTTTCTGTCGCAAACAATGATCTTTCTGGTAGGATTCCGGAAGCTTTTGATTCGGCTGATTCTTTTGATTTTGGAGGAAATGATGGGCTTTGTGGTGGTCCGTTGGGGAAATGTGGGAGGCTTAGTAAGAAAAATTTAGCTATTATTATTGCTGCTGGTGTGTTTGGTGCTGCTGCTTCTCTGTTGTTGGGCTTTGGGGCTTGGTATTGGTATTTTACCAAGGCGGGGAAAAGGAGGAAGATGGGGTATGGATTAGGGAGAGTTGACTCGGAAAGGTGGGCGGATAAGTTGAGGGCTCATAGGCTTACTCAGGTTACGTTGTTTAAGAAACCGCTTGTGAAGGTTAAGTTGGCGGATTTGATGGCTGCCACAAACAATTTTAGTTCGTCGACTGTGATAAACTCGACTAGGACGGGGACTACGTTTAGAGCTGTTCTGCGTGATGGTTCTGCGCTTGCTATTAAACGGCTTAAAGCTTACAAGCTAAGTGAGAAGTTGTTTCGAATGGAGATGAATGGGCTAGGACAAGTTCGGCATCCTAATTTGGTGCCACTTTTGGGCTTTTGTGTTGTTGAGGAGGAAAAGCTTTTGGTTTATAAGCACCTGTCAAATGGTACTTTGTATTCATTATTGAAAGGGAACACAAGTATGTTGGATTGGCCTACTAGGTTTAAGATTGGCTTGGGTGCTGCAAGGGGCCTTGCTTGGCTTCATCATGGTTGTCAACCACCAATATTGCACCAAAACATATGTTCTAACGTTATTTTCCTTGATGAGGATTTTGATGCTAGAATAATGGATTTTGGGTTGGCAAGGCTGGTGACACCTCCAGATGCAAAAGAGACTAGTTTCGTGAATGGGGAGTTGGGTGAATTTGGCTATGTTGCTCCGGAAATGGTGGCTTCACTGAAAGGGGATGCTTACAGCTTTGGGGTTGTGCTTTTGGAGTTAGCTACTGGGCAAAAACCTCTAGAAATCACTGCTGCTGATGAAGTTTTTAAGGGAAATTTGGTGGACTGGGTAAATCAGCTCTCTGTTTCTGGTCAGATTAAAGATGCAATTGATAAGCATATTTGTAGAAAGGGCCATGATGAAGAGATTGTAAAATTCCTCAAAATTGCTTGCAATTGTTTAATTTCTCGGCCCAAGGAGAGGTGGTCTATGTATCAGGTATATGAAGCGCTGAAGAGCATGGCGGAGAAACATGGTTTCTCTGAACATTATGATGAATTTCCCTTGCTATTTAACAAACAAGAGACCAGCAGTCCCATTTGATACATGAATGGGAAAGCATTATGAGATATTTCACATCTAGTGAACACAAATGCATTATATAGTACGTTCTTCACTTCTCTTAGGTGCAAGTGGAATCAGGCACAATACATATGTTTCGGTGAAGTACTACCACATATATTGCTGTATTATACTGTGAAGTGTCAAATCATTCTGAGGTCTTCTGCTCGAAATTTATGATACAGATTGCTAATATTATTGGTATCTTAGGTTTATGTTTCTCTTCTGCATTAAACAAGACGGTAAGCAAAAGCTGTCACAGTTTATTTGAAAGCTGTAATACTACTTTAGCTGTTTATAACTGACGTGGGCATTGGCCTTTTTAGGGTCGAGATACGTTCAGTACGTCACTTATGGTTTGTAAGATCAAATCACACTAGATTTCCCTAATGGATTGGTTCAGTAGAATAGCTACCTCCACGCTAAAATTAATTCATCTAATCGGAATGCTATCAAGCAGGATTATTAGTAATTACCCCTTCGGATTAATTTTGGATGATGTTGATCAGTAATTGTAGGGTCCTTAATTTGTGTCTGAGTGGGAATAGTTTTCACTAAAATGGAAGTTGAATGGGCTTTCTAAGAGCTACGTGCCCTCTTGAATTTGATTTGGCAGCTGAATTTTTCATTCACTTGATCTAATCTGCTTCTTTACAATCTCAGAAACATAATGCACAATCTAAGTTTCCAAGTAGGAAAAAAAAAATTTCTTGTTGACAGTTGAAACTCTTTGCAATAATAGTTATCAAGGCTCTTACTTTTCCCCTCAAGCTGAAGCTCAAGCTAAAGCTCAAGCTCGGATGCGTGTTATCATGTGCTCTCCTGCTTCCCTGAAAAGTCATTTTGTAATATTTCAAAACAATAGCTTGTAATCTAATAGTAAATGAAGGGTTCACATCTGTCCTTGTCTTTAACAGAGCTCCAGCTGGGGGACTATATGGACTCTACGTATTAGAATATCTTGGTAAATAAGCTAGCTCCAGCTGGGGGACTATATGGACTCTACGTATTAGAATATCTTGGTAAATAAGCTCAATTTTACCTATCCATTTTTAGGTACGGTTTTAGATTATCTCATGTTATATTTCGTTACAGTAGATGAGTACTGTTGACCCTTTTCGAAAGCAAATAGATATGGTTGGATAAGCAAAGATGTATACTTTTCTTACTCATGAATGTTGCAGGGTGGAATGTTAAAGCATTGAAAATACCTGTTGTGTATTGGATCAGGTTCACTAGGTACTCTTCTTTTGCTGACATAATTGAGATTGGTCCTTTGAAGAGAATGCCTTTCTGTTTCTATTATCCTTCCAGTGTCTAAATGTTGATTGCTTGTCGTTCCAGTAACTGTTTTGGCTGCTGCAGGCTTTACTAAAATCTCAGCAGAAACAATACAGAGAAAAATAAGTAAAAGAAGAGCCATCAATAAACTGCTGCCGCGGCCAGCACCATCACCACCCATAACTCCAGTGTTACTATCTCAAATTTTCCCGTCTTTGATCTTCAATGCACATTTGTGAATCAGAGGAACACACCCAACACCAAAATTTCCTTCTGTTCTTGGGATGCTCTTAAATGGATATTTTTTATTTGCCTAAGATTAATATATAGCATGAAAAAGTTAAAGTTGGTTATATCCAAAGACCAAAAGCAACAAAAGGGAAAGGTAATTTGAAGATGTGGGGTAAAAAGTGAAGAGAATTAGGCGCAGGTATAGGCTGACAACAGTTTATAATAAAGTAAGATGTCCAATTATTTATCACCTCGGTAGTGCAGGTATAACATTGCCAAGGGGACATAGAAAGTTCAGCACATAAAATTAATCCATAATTTCTACTGTGTATTGTTTTTTCCCCAAAGAGCTTAAAGGGTTAAACTACCAAGTTTAAAATGCTGACGAAAATTCAGGTTAAACTCATCATATTGGACATTCATGATTGCTGGCATTGAAAAGGTGATTTGGACGCAAGAAGGAGCCATCAAATTCAAAATCATTGCAAGAGCAAATCAAAGAAAATTTTGTTCTTTATTCCAGAAATAATTTGAATATACTTGACGTCTTTGTATTTTCTCCAAAGAATCTGTAAAGGGAATTTCCTGAAAAGAAGTGCAGGCAAAAGAAATCGTAGAAGAGGGCACATTATTAGTATATATGCTTGAGTCTGCTAAGCAGTATGTTCTAATCACTGTCAGGCCAATAATGTATGGTCCCTATCGAATATAGAGCTTTCAAGACAAAAGATACAAAAGTGCACATGAGAATATCAAAGATGGAATGATTGCACACATAGTTTGGCACACTAGTGATGAAGTAGAATAACTTTAACCCAGGAAAACTGATACCAACCAAACTTTGAAATAAGATGACATCAATCATCAGAAGTTTGAAATAATGTAGAGCTTATCAGACTAAAGACACCCACATTCAATAGCGAAACATTTTAGTCACACTTATCTGAATCATTGGGGTTCCCAATTATTAGAAGCTCATATACTGACAAACTTTACTCTTCAGTTTAGAGGTATAGGACAAAGAAGCTACCTCTAGTATAACTCAAGGTACTAATTATCGTGGTCCATTTCCATCTTTCTTGACCTATCTTTACAAAAGAAATCATGCTACTAATCCAGCTTTTTAATTCAAAAAATACACCAAATTTTCCATATACAACTTCAATTTGATGTTGAAAAGAGAATGCGGGATGGAATTCATGGGGATCAGATCAACACTTCAAAATTTGAAAATAAAATTTCTTCAGCATTCTCCAATAGCATAATAATGTAAGGCATGTCAGCCAAGGCAAGGATAAGCAAGGTATGGCATATAAATGTCACTTTAGAAATCCATTTAGGTGTAAAATAGGCAAGACTAATATATATCTACATTTACTAGCAAACTCCTGCAGAAAACTCGTGATGCCTTCTTATGGATGGATGTGCATTAAGAGTGAGTCACTGAGTCAAGTACGGCATACAAATAGGGGAGCTAGGTGATGCAGAATGCCCCCAAGAAGAAATCGACCTGCAGGTTAAAGATCCATCAAATTAATCATAAGATATTCCAGGCGAGACTATTAAACGATATATAAGGTCAGGACAAAGGAAAATTACCATGTAAATGAATGGTGAGGACTGGGGCAATCAACTGTTTGACAACATTTTACATCACCTCTTGACTATAAGATGTGTTATGCAATCCTCTTTAGCTAAATTTACGATGCTGAAATCTCCACTTCCTTGAGCAAATCCAGCTTTTCCTGCTTTCTCTTTGTCTTCTCTACATATTTCTTCTTCAGTGCCCACTTTGGTCCATATATTGCCAAATGCGTTCGACCAAACCGCCGATCAGATATCTGTATTTTTAGTAACAATAGAAAGAGAATTAATTCTCGTGTAGATGAATGATTGAACCATACATCCAGCTAGCTCTTCAAAACATTTTCGTTTCTGTTGAAGAGAAAACACCACCCAAACACATCTACTAAAGATAGAATGCAGAAAGCAATCAACGATATTTTTAATGATAACATCCAAAAATAAAAGTCCTAGTACATGCACTCGAGCATCATAGGGGGATAGTGCTGTTCTTAATACTGAGAGAATGAGCTGCTCAATACCTTAACAAGGCAACCACATGAATCCAGCATGTCAGTTCTGAAAGGGTACTCCACCAGCTGAATACACAAAAACATGCTGACAATTACCACAAAAGTTTTTTATTGGCAGAACGCAGAAAGGAACACGATGGACTTACAAAGCACAATATACTGAAGCACTTACTATAAATGTATTTTCTCCCACAATTGATGATTTTGAAATTTGATCCATTAATATACTGTAATCAACAACAGCGTATGGTGGTGTAACACTAATATAATCAAAGCTCCCATCTTTACCTGAAAAAGTAAATATAAATCCTAGATTATTATATTTCAGTAAAAGAGCAGCATAGAATTTTCATGGTTAGAGCTTTGTTTTTGGAACACATCATCCCTCAAAGTTGTAACCAACTGTTAGTTCTTGAAGACTGCCAAACGAAATATCAAAAGAAATCACGCATTTGAACAAAGAGAAGAGAAACTATACGGCTTGCAAATTTTTCAGAAGTACAGGACTGGTTAAGTTAGATTTAAAGGATTGACTAGCCACAATCAACAACAATATCGAGGGAACCTCCAGAAAGTCTGTTGAGCTGGTCTGGCACCAAGCATGTTATGAATTAGCACCAACCATATCTGCAATGACCCATCCCCTAATCTGAACCTCTCTTATCACTCTCTTCTGCCAGATTATTACCAATACTAACTGCAGGTGATAAATGTTAGATGTCTGGTTAAGTTTCATTTACGTTGTTGACAAATGACTATTGCGGTATGCAGATCACAACTACCTTTGCCATTGTTTGACTTAAAAGAACTAAATCTATAAAGCAGTCCTTATTTGCTAAACAGCATGCCTTCGAAATATGTTTCATCAGTGGGATAAGAAACCTCATCAATGGTAACAGTTATAGGAAGTCTACTATTAGCACCATATTAGGCATCAAGCAAGAAAATCTTACCTCCAACTTGCACCTTGATTGACTTATGTAATGATAGTGAACAAGGTCTCAGTTTGAGAAAAGAGATACCACAAGTGATATAAAGGCATCAGGATAGCCTATAGTTTTTTAGATTTTTACTTCAGTAAAAATGTTCAAGGCGTTTCATTTTCTGTTTCCTTTGCAAAAAAAAACCTTATTTTTTGATATTTCCAGGGCAAGTAATGAACCTTGTTTCTAATACATTTCGGAGTGAGTAATAATCTTTTATTTTTGTACAGAATTGTACAAGAAAACATCAGATAAAATATTTGATGAGCCTTTTAAGAGAGAGAGAGATATCCTATTGGACGTTAAATCAGAATTACTGATTCATGATACCATTAACTCCCAAACTTACTCCGCTTGTGGGGCAACATCAGGAAGAGAAACTCTTACCAAGAAAATGTTCGGCACGCTCCAAGAAGCTTTCAACACGGACAGTATGTATGACAGACGCATCAAGGAAACCAGTCCATTCTAAATTTGGCCGGAGAACATCTGAGACAACCCAAGGGTCCATCTCAACAAAATGCACCTAGGAGTTTGCAAACAGAAATATGAAACAGAAATGGTATGAGAGCAATATGACATGGAAAAACTGAATAAAATATAAAGCTCCACAAATCAACAGCTAACTTAAGAATAAAATCAAACAGAGACAATAAAAATATCACTATATAATAAGTAAATGAAATTTAGCATATGTTCCAGAAAGGGCTGTTACAAATTAAATGCTAACCTCAGAACACCCTCGGCTGATGGCTTCTATACCAACTGATCCTGTCCCACTATATAGGTCCAACCAACGGCCCGGCCTCAAAGATGCAGGGCAACCACCCGCTGCCTAGATAGCAGAGAACAATTTTAATAAACAACATTAAAACAGTGCAACTTGCTTTACATGAAAGACGAACTGCTCTTAATGGCTAATAAGAATCTCACTTGCAAAATACCAAATGCAGCAGCTTTTACAACTTCCATCATGGGACGCACATCCATGCTCTTTGGTGAGAGTAATTTCTTCCTTCGAGCCGTCCCCCCAACTACCTGAACAAAAAAGTCCTTGTAATAGCAAAGATATCACAACTACTTGTTTGTCTGACAACAATTGCATCATCACATGACATGGGTACTTGGAAATGAATTACAAACCTTTTCCTTAGTAATTTATATGACTAGCTCATCTAGTTTGCTAAGTGTAGACATGCAAAATTTTATGGTATCAAGTCCATACAATATTTGGATTATCACACTTCATAGTGGAATCTTAATATACTTGAATTATCAACAAATGAGTCGAAAAAAACGGAATTCTCTCATTAGTAGCCACAGATTCAGCTAACATGTCATTGAAATGCAAACCTGAAGCAATTTATGTGTCTCCCGTGTATGTTTAGGTTCTTCTACTAGAACCTGTTTTCCGGTTCCGCTCTTGGATTGTTCTCTTCTCTTCTTTGTCTATAACTCCAATGAAAACACTACTGTTAATATCAATTAATTAATACAACTCAATTTCAATCTAGTTAAGGTCATCTGTAAGAAACATCTACATTAACGTCTATTCAGTCCCCATTTTAATTTTATTTTAAATGAAACAAATAATATTTTCATAGAGGGTAAAACAGAGAACAACGTACCTTTGGAGATGGTTCAGATAAGTACTCATCCGGATTTAACCCGTATTGTTCAAGTAACTGCCTTTTCTTATCAACTGAGAGTTCATTTTTGGATTCTGACAGTATAATTTTTTTGTTAGATTAACAACAAAAACATCCAATTTCACAGAGAAGATAGAGGAAGCGAAACAACTTACTGGAAGAGACTGTGATAATGAACGGCCGGCGACGATTGGTGGCTGTGAAAGGATATCCGACGAGAGCAGGATTGAAGCTAAGCAAACTGGTCTCCGGAACGATTGAGTGAGACCGAAGAGGTGAGAGAAAAGAAAATGCAGTGTGTGAGGATGAAACCGCCATTTGTGTAAAACCCCAATTGCAAAAAGCAAAATTTGGTTGAAGTGATTTTAAGCCTTGTTCATTTTTAAATTGGGGAGACACTGTTTAGATAGAGTGGAAAACTGGGGAATTATATGAGCTAAAATTGTTCTCCCTTTCTTCTTTTTTTTTTTAATCATGAAGATGATTTTTATTTTTAGTTTTAGTTTTACTCCTTTCTGTCACACTTTTTGCTCTCATAAACGCTAAAATTCACAAGATGATAAACAATCTTTTTTTAAAAAAAAATAATCTCAAACCTGAATTGCTAGCCAAATTGTAACATTTTTTAAAGTGCATGTTTTTGGTAGCTGATAAATGATTAGCAAATATTGGAGTTAACAATTACTCCCTTCGTCTCTATTTACTTGTCATATTTTTCTTAAGTTATTTTTTATTTGTCATTATTAATAAATTAAAAAAAATTGTTATGAGTAAATATATTTGACATCCTATTAATTAATAGAAGTAAAATGATAAACTTATTATATTAATTATTATTTTTAATATGTGTATCAAGCTAAAATTTGACAAGTAAATATATGCTGAGG